TCCATTGCTCACATCCCGATCCCTGCCGGTGCCCGCGGGGCGGCGGTGCCACCCTCCTGCTCCAGGTAAAACACCCCTCCCCGGGCACATCCCCATCCCGCTGTTTTGCTCCTCTGGATTTTTCCCGGCGGGGGATGCAGGATGCTGCTGGCTCAGAGGGTTGGTTACTGGAATCAGCTCCGGGGCTCTGTTTCCCACTCAACACCTCTTTGTGAGAGCAGCCAGGGTGGGAAAGGGGCCAACAAGTGGGTTTTATTTAAGGAAGGACATGTGGCAACACAGAGAAATGACAACCTGGGTGGTGTGGGAAGCTCTGCTGAGATCAGGGGGCTCAGGAGCACCTGAGCAGGCAGAGCCTTTCCCACGGCCATTCACACCACCCTCTCAGGATGCCAGAACCTCCAAAATCTACTTTTTCATCTTTCTGGGAAGGTAGCCACGGAGCTGCACCACCACCACGAGGAGGTATTTCCCCTGACCGTTGCCCTCATCAGGCTGTGAAGTCCTGGGTCACCAGGTTGAAGACATTGCTCTCCATGGACGATTGCCACTTGCCCCAGTTTCTCTTGAGCTCAGCCTGGACCTGAAGCAGCATCACAGAGTGGTGATGGCACCCAGGGACACCTGACAGCTCCCAACAGGAGCTGCTCTGAGGGATCTACAGGGATTTGGGCACACACTCACCTCCCCATTCAGGAAACAGTACAGCAAAGCCACCAGGAAGCCCTGGAAAGGACAGGAAGAACAAGTTTCACCCAGGGCAAGGGGTCAGACCCCTCCATGCTCATCTGCTGCCTGCATTTATAGAGTCACAGCATCACAGAATCTCCCACACCTCTTACTCATCCCATGGGCAACAGGCAATGGTGCCAGTTGTTCACCAGCCACAACCCTTGTGCTCTACCCTTGGTGTTTGGAGGGTCTCTGGGGCATAGTCCTCTCCCACATGAGTGCAAAGCCCCAGCAGCACATCCCAGAGGCTCCTGGTGTGCTCTTGGGAGGGGAGGGGATGGGATGGAGGATTTGCCTATCCATGTCCCCCAGACTGCACCTGGTAGGAGCCGAGGACCAGCTCGAAGTAAAGCCGTGCGTCCACACCGATGTGCTCGGGGAAGAGTGCAAACACCACGTAGTGCACCCCAAAGAGAGGGATCAGGAGCAGCGTGGACTTGGTCAGCCTCCTGTGGAGAGTGGTGGCATGGGAAGGGGCCTGGGTGGGCCTGCTACCCCAGGAGACCTTCCCAAGAGCTTGGTCTTAACCCAACACCATGGTCTACACCAAAGTAGGTGCTCCAAGGCAGGTCCTGGAGGCTCAAGCTGATCCTTCTTTGGGGTCCCTGCTGCCCTGGAGCCCAGGGAGCAGAGTGAGGAGAGCTCCTCTTTGTGGTTCTTACATGTATTGCTGCTTGTAGTTTCTGCTGATGTCTGGGGACCTGATCTTCTGTGCCAGCATCCTGGTGACATTGAGGAAGATGAGGAAGTTCACCTGCCATGAGAAGCCACGTCTCAGGCTCTGCACAGCCCCCTGGTTTGGTCCCTCTGCCCATATGGGACCCCCAACTCTGGGGCTGGGATGCTCAGGGGACACACTCACCAATATGGCCAGGAGGATGGGAGCCTTGATCACCCACCAGTACAGGCTGGGGGGG